TTGAGGAGATATATATACACACATACAGAGAGCATAAAACGGGGGAAGTCGTCATTTCACCCCCGGGGCTCCAATTTATTAAAAGAAAAAAAAAAAAATTTTTAAAGGGAAAATAAAGTAACCCCGGAACAGACAGTTAGATAACAAGTGTGAGAATACTTACAAGGGGAGATAGATTCAATGTTTGTAATGGCTCAGCTATATGCTATATGCATCCGAAGAAGTGGGCTGTAGTCCACGAAAGCTTATGCTCTAATAAATTTGTTAGTCTCTAAGGTGCCACAAGTCCTCCTGTTCTTCTTTTTGCGGATACAGACTAACACGGCTGCTACTCTGAAACCTGTAAAAGTTGGGAATTATTACCCTTAAACAGCAAATCGATGGAGGAAAGGGGGGGTATTAATCAATCATTTTGCTGTTGAGGGGATTCGGAGGGTGCAGAGTGTTTTATTGGGTGGATTCAGTTGATGGAAGGCTGCAGCTGGTTCTGCCTTTTGGTTTCCGTGGTCTCCTGCTTCGTGTGCTGTTGGATCTCACAGTTGTTGCAGCCCTCGGGCCATGTCCTGGGACAACATGGCCCACCCACCGCATGAATGCCTCATTGTCCTGCTTCCGATGAATCTGCCCCTTCCCTGATGGGGTAGGGCACCTGTCTACAAACAACCAATCAGGTAGATCACTGAGGCACTCCTAGTCTTCCAAGCTGGGGTCAAGTCCCAGTTGGATTTTCCATTGCTCCACTGCTTGGTTGACGACTCCTCAGTGAATGTGTCCAGGGGCTGCTGCCAGTCGAGGTGCCAGCTTCAGGAGCTTACGGGCTGCCACTGCTGTTCTGAAAGAGACAATGTTATAATACGTAGTACTTTCCAACTACGTATCTCAAAACGGTTATGGGGGGGAATATCAATCTCCCCAATTTAAAGATGGAGAAACGGATGCACGGAGAGATTAAGTGGCTCACTGAAGGTCACAGTGAGTCAGTGCAGATCTGGTCTGAGAATCCAAGACTATGTCTATGCTGCCCGCCATTCGGACTGCAGGGGTGTAAATAGCAGTAAAGGGTGTAACCCCCCCGGGAGGATGTTGCAGACATGAACTACAAGGTTCCTAGTTCCCATTAATGTAAGTCCTTTTTGAAAAGCATTAAATGAACACAAACCAAGAATACAAACTAGGAACCTTTGAGTTCAGGCTTGCAGTATCCACGGGGGGTGAGGGAATGGTTTACATCACAGCACTTCGGTGCACACTGCTGTTTATGCCCTCATAGCCCAAACTGCAGGGCAGTGTAGACAAGCCGCAGGTCTCCTAAATTCCAGTCCCATGCCCTATTATTATCTGTCTGCCCTATTCAGAATACCATGCTGCTTCTCTCATTGAACTACATTGCCTGCTACAAACACAGATTGAAGGAGGAGGGGACAAGAACAGACAGGAGAGCTGTGTACAACAGGAATCTTGTTCCTGATAAGAATCTACCTTTTCATGTCTGGTCTGTCTCTTCCTCCCAGCCAACCCTGCCTCTGTTTATCATGTTTTCCAATTCTTTGCCATCCAGATAGGGTGACAAGCTGTCCCGATTTTATAGGGAAAGTCCCGATTTTTGGGTCTTTTTCTTATATAGGCTCCTATTACCCTCCACCCCGGTCCCATTTTTTTACATTTGCTGTCTGGTCACCCTACATCCAGACATGTAGTGGATGCTGATTCTTCTCTGTCTCTGGGACTTGTCTGGCCTCCATCACTATAGCACTTTACAATCCTTGATGTATTTATCATCACAGCTGCCTTGTGACATAGGGAGACTCCATTATCCCCATGTTACCGATGGGAAATGGAGGCACAGGGAAATTAAGTGGTCAGACAGGAAACCTGTGGCAGAGCAGGAATTGAACCCAGGTCTGCCATAATTCAGGCTGGCGTTCTAATCACTGAACCTTTTCCCCCACTTATCCTTGCACTTCACCCTGACCCCACTTTTCTGCCCATTCATTACTGATGAGTAAGTCACTTGCATGGGGAGTATCCCACTGGGACAGACTACCTGGGTGATGTCGTTGATAAAACTGGGTCTGACACTGATCTCTGTGTGGCTCGAAAGCTTCTCTCTCTCTCTCACCAACAAAAGTTGGTCCAATAAAAGATATTACCTCACCCACCTTGTCTCTCTAATATGTGGGGACCAAGATGGCTACAACACTGCAAACAGTTTATTAGATGGCATTTTGCCTTTTCTGACAAATAGACTGACTGCTGTCAGCATTCTTTACCTGCAGTGATAGCCAGAGATATAGCATAACATATAATTAATATCAGCAACAAGAAAATGATAGGTTAATGCTTCTCTGGGGGCTGTCTAGGTCCCTATCAAACTAGACGTTAGCCATCACTTAATCAAAATAATAATTAAAATCTTGCTGCCTTTAACAGCATGCTGGCTGTAAATGTGCAGTGAAGATTAAAGTCCAGTTTTATAGGGATGTAGGCAGCTGTCAAACAACCTTTCTCCTTTCATTTTGTGTGTGTCTGCTTGCACTGGTGAGCTTGCAGAAGAATGAATGATTGTTTCTTTGTTAGAGGCAGATCTGATCTAAAGAACTATAGAGAAGCACTTCATAGATTTTTAAAAATCATTTTCACTCTGCTGCTGTTTAGTATTAGTGATGCGGCATAGAACAGCAAAACAGAAGTAGGAATGAACGAGGAAGAGGAAAAACTGGGTAGTAGGAGGGAAGTCTACATTTTCTTCCACTGGCCAAACAGAGGTCTCCTGGAGTTCCTTGTGGAGAATGTGTGTTTGCACAAATCATTTGCAGAAAGAGTCCACACCAGAAATCCTTGCATTTTCTGACAGGCTTGGGAGGGAGATTTTAATAATTTGATTAGAACGGGTAGCAGGAATGAAAGGAGCAGAGGCAACAGAAGTCGAAGAATTCCTCACTTGGTTATACTTCAGTCCTGTCCAAGAGACAGAGCTTCCAATGAGACCCTTCAGAGCAGCTGGATTGTGAAGTGGGGAGT